GATACCTGTCAGCAAACACCACACACCCACAGGGCCAGAGATTGTTTTCATGCTGTTTCTTTCATAAGAATTTAGCCCCTCACAAGAAACACCAGATTTGTCAAAAAAATAGAGATTTTTAGAAATTATTGTAAGGGGAGGGAGGAAAACCATCAGCATCACTCTTTGCCCCCAGCTGCATTCATGCCAGCTTTGCAGTGGGGTGTCTCTTGGGATGCTTTACCTATTTGCTCCTGAGGGCTAGTACCATGATTAGTTTGAGGGAACAGAAATGGAGAGGTGCTGTCAATCGAGGTGAAAAATTCAAAGTGTGCCACCTCAGCACTACAGAAGAAACTGGGAGCTGTATCCTGAGGCAGCACTCATCTGCAGGAATGTCTCATGAATAGGAATCCAAAACAGGGATCAAAACCAGTCAAAACTGTGGAAGGGGTCAATGAGTTTACTAGCAACCCCCACTGCAAAGCAGACACATGAACACATTCAAATCCTAAAAGAAAAAATAATGCTCCTGCCCTCCTGCCCCTGTCCCAAGTGGGATGGCCAGGAGCATCTAGGCCACCTCAAGGGTTTTTTCACTGGTGTGAGAGCTGTTTTCACCACAGCCACACTTGATAAAGGCACCTTCTCTTGTCAATATGTTTTCCACCACCAGAAAAGTATAAAACGGGGGACTGATAGATTTAGCACTTGCTTTTGTCCTCTTCATGCTTTGTGAATGCCAAACAGCTGATCCCTGGGACTCATTTGAGTCCTCTTATCCCCATGAGCATTTGTGAAGCAAAATAAAGAATGAAAGAAAGAAAAAGCAATCTGACCTATATAGATGTGTTTGCTGCCTTTGGATTATTTTTCATTGGGCAACATTTAAATACTTTGCTATCTCTGAATGGATCCTATGATTCCTAGTAAATCAAATGAAAATCCAAAACAGAAAGAAGTCTGACAGAATTTTTTCTTAGATTTTGTTCTCGCTGGATAAACAGATTTCTCAACATTACTTCAGCTTTCTTTCTTTCTTTCTTTCTTTCTTTCTTTCTTTCTTTCTTTCTTTCTTTCTTTCTTTCTTTCTTTCTTTCTTTCTTTCTTTCTTTCTTTCTTTCTTTCTTTCTTTCTTTCTTTCTTCCTTCCTTCCTGCTTTCCTGCTTTCCTTCTTTCTTTCCTTCTCCCTCTTTTTTCTTTTTTCTTTCTTTTTTTCTTTCTTTCTTTCTTTCTTTCTTTCTTTCTTTCTTTCTTTCTTTCTTTCTTTCTTTCTTTCTTTCTTTCTTTCTTTCTTTCTTTCTTTCTTTCTTTCTTTCTTTCTTTCTTTCTTTCTTTCTTTCTTTCTTTCTTTCTTTCTTTCTTTCTTTCTTTCTTTCTTTCTTTCTTTCTTTCTTTCTTTCTTTCTTTCTTTCTTTCTTTCTTTCTTTCTTTCTTTCTTTCTTTCTTTCTTTCTTTCTTTCTTTCTTTCTTTCTTTCTTTCTTTCTTTCTTTCTTTCTTTCTTTCACCACAGGCACCTTTAATACTCAGAAAAGGTGCTCACTGATATGATTGACACACCTTCAGACTGTTGTTCTCTACCTGGGGAGTTAAGGTAGAGTTGGTTTGTGTCAATACAAGTCACTCCCCATGGGCTGGTTGGAACTTTTCAGTTTTAGCCTATTCCTGGAGATAATGAAGTGAAAGAAAAGGAGAGGGCAAGAAGTGCTACCTGCAGTTTTTTTATGTTGATTTTTTTTTTGTTTGGTTTGGGTTTTTTCCTCCTCTCATGAGTCACCTGTACAGTTTACTTGACTTTTATGTGAAACAAAAGTGACCAGTGCAGCGCATGGTGTGGATGTGCCGCTGGGATCCTCTGGCCAAGCCCAAGGTGAAGATGTGGCAGCACCAGCAGCAGGGCCATGGGGTGCAAATGCCAGTCAGGGAAGCCGGAGGAGGAACCCAGGGAGAGCTGTTCTTCAAGACCAACATCTAGATCTCGCAGAACTATCACTCGGAAGGGAAGTGAAACCTGGTGAACGTGGTTTGGGACACAAAGGAAAGACATGAGAGCTTAAAAGGTATTCAAATGAACAAATTATTTTGTGCCTCTGAACAATTATCACACTGTCTGACTGAGCCACAACAACTGAAGACCCAAGAGGTTCCCAGTATCTCTTCTTTGTTTGCAGGAGTAGAAGATGTCATGAGTAAGTGTTGTCTCAGCACTTCCCACCGGCTGCCAATGAGCACAATGCAGACAAGATCCCATGCAATGTCTTGAATACTGGATTCTTATTTTCCATGAATATAAAACATGTTGGGGTTTGTGTTTGCATGCCTGTGGATACATGCACGGGTGTTTTTTGTCATCTAGTTTTACATTTACATCTATTTTTGTCTGCAAATGTGGATATAACATGGAATTGTTTTTTTGCATTGTACTGTTAGTGGGTGGAAACACAGAGGAGTGTGTGTCCTGCAAGCCTTTTAAACATACCATAACACAAATGAAAGCATCTTGACTTTTAGGATCAAAAATGGGAATGGTGCTAGGGAAAAGTCTAGAAGACTTCAAACTGAAGGTTTTCCTTTGCTTGTTTGTTTCTTGAATGCTGGCCCCAAAACCAAAATTGTAATAACCTGTACAAATGTCCTTAGCTGTTAGATCAATTCATTATGAACAAGTGACAGCTTCAAATGTGAGAATAAAGAATTTGTATACATGCCGGGAAACTGGAGCTAAAAAATTAAGTAAGACTATACAAACCATTATTTCCTAATTTGAGTACCTGTACTATTGATACACAGAGCATTTGCTGAAAGAAAGAAGCAGGTATGCTTTGTTCTGAAATTTTTCTCAAGAAGTCAGATTTAGAAATTGAACAGACTTAATTTTACCTTTGGTTTTTATCTGGATTTTTTTAACACTGTAAGAGAATGACCAACCAAGAAATGATTGTCTTTCCTTTTACCTGTCAAGATAAACCTAGTGAGTGTAGTTTTGAAAGGCATGCAGCACTCAGTTTTACAAGCTTTATAATTGAGTTATTCTTCCCTACAAGCAGGAAGATGAAAATAGTGACAGTAAATACGACACAAGGTGAGTGAAGGTTGCAAAATTAGATCCTTGTTTGTATGGAGACAGTTATATTAGGATGCAATCACTAGGGGTAAAAAAATCAATTAATGTATATTAAGAACATTAATCCTGAGTTTAACATGGCCTTAATTTACTGCAGTTTAATCCTTTTCATTTTCACTTTCTGCTGGGAACTTGTACTTCAAAACATGAAAATTGTCATATTGCCAAAGTGCTTTGACACTGTGTTCCAATAAGCTCGTCAAATACAAAACTGAAGTCTGCAAGATTAATTGTTCTGTAATCTTGGAGAGTGCTATTTTGAAGAGCATTTTGGAAGACTATAATGTGGTAGCATGAAATAACAGAAACATTTGGTGTCCTATTTGGTGTGTGGCTTTCACTCCAGAAGACAGACTCTAAGGACACTGTCTATGATTTTTGGGTAACAAAACCTGTAAATGTACCTTCACTAGTGCCTGGAAGTTAGAGTTACTAAGAAGGAGGTAATTAGAATATGCATAACTCACAGACAATTGCTGTTTTCAGTAATCTGATACCCTTTGATCTGTCCACACAGTGCTTAGCTGTGCTACAATACATACCAGATATTGAAACAGTTAATTCTTTGTTGGGCATAAAGAATCTAAATTTGAGCTGGTGTGGAGTTGCAGAAAATATTTGAACTCCATCCCTGCCAGCCCCCCAATGAGACTATTTCAGTATCTGGTTTTGAGTAATCACTGTTTTCTTCTCTGTCTTTTTATTAGTATTATCCCTTGGCTTACAGTCAAATATTGCTCCCAGCTGGTACAAAAGGCAATGCAGCCAATATCTTTTCTCCAAAGTAAACATCTTGTCCAGGATACACTCAGCCAGCACCCTAATTTCACACTAAGGGCTTAGGCAGAGCTTGATCCATATGGGTATGTCAGTTCATCTTATTCTTTTCCTCAATAAATTATTCACAGAATCATCTTCTGATAGGTCAAGAGCATGTTCATCTAATATTAACTATTCATTTTGTAATTCATGAAGCCCCAGCATACCTCTTCACCTGTACATCTAACTTCATAAGGATGTAATCTCCATTTTCCTAGTAATAACCTTGTTTCTCTTCTTCAGCTGAGACCCTTTCTTTGGCCACCATGGTGGCTGACTGGATGAGACCTCTGAATTTATAACTTCTTTTGATATTCAGTCTTTGTACCCTAGACAAGTAAGGTACAAAAAGAAAAAAAAAAGGCTGATGGAGATAAAAGACAAATCCACGGGTTGATGTTCTGTGATGAACTAAGTGAAAAAAGTCTTAAAAGCTTTGGTTTACATGGATGCTGAAGTAGCCTTGGGATGTAGCCACCAGGACGAGACCACGTCTTTTCACTTTTATCTTGATGTGATGAAGTATTCACAGAACAAAAGCCCTTAAAAGGGAGCAAGTGGCAGACTTTGACCAGTATACAGGTTAGACAATGACTATGTGTCAAGCATAAGTACAACTTTCAGAACTGATGCAGTTTTGGAAATGGTGGTGCCGTTAACAACATAAAATAACTTCCATCATGATTGACCTAAAATTAAGCTTCTTACATGACAGTGACAAAAAAGCTTTAGACAACTTTGAGCTTTAGAAACATTCTACCATCATTCATGTGGATTATGCAATGATCTTCCAAACTCCTATGCCTCTTTAACATAGTTATTGTTAAAATACCTCTTTTTTTTTTTTTTTTTTTTGTGATGAAGACATATCAAACAGACATAGTGGGTGGGAAAGCAAGAAAAAAAAGAACAAGTATTTTACACAGAATGACCAAAACTCACAGACTCTAAAGCCCTTCTGCAGAATACTCTCAGAAAGCAAGGAACTGTGCCTCCAGTCCACACACTTGAATAATTTCTCAAACATACTCATGTCCTAAAGATTTATTTTCAACTACTAAAAAAATGTTTTTAAATGCAGTTCTCAGGGGTAGAGCTGATGCCCCTCATCAGTATTTTCACTAACATCCTGGATTGCACATTCCATAGAAGAGCATAAAGTGCTACAGCATTGGGGTTTTTAATTTCATTTGGAACTTCACCCTTTCCATAACTGTTTTTATTATTATTTTTACCTTGTAGCTCCTATATTCTTGTAATGACACATAAGAAGGTGCTTAAAGGTCTTCTTGAAAGTCGCATTGCAGAGCGCATAACAAGCAGGGTTGATGGTGCTGTTGATATAACAGAGCCAGTAACCTATGATCCATACAGTGCCAGGGATGCAGGATGTGCAGAAGCTGTTAATAAGCACCATCACATTATATGGAGTCCAGGTGATGATGAAGGCCAGGAGGATGGCCAAAATAGTCCTTGTCACTTTTTTCTCTCTAGAAGGAGGTGGTTTCTTTTTGGCTGGCTGCTTTGTCATCTTGACAATTTTCCGGGCTACGCTATTCTGCTTCTCCTCCCCATTCGTGCCTACGATCTCCACGGTAGTGTTGGTAGGAGCACAGCAGTCACCCTTCTGGGACTTGGTGACTATCCTTATGCACGTCAGCTTGGAGTTCTCCACTTTGAGATGGTCTTGGGAGGCAGAAGCCTGGTTGGCATCTTTGGTAGTTTCATCCTCTTTCATGTTGGAAGCGACCACACTGACGGAGGTGGAGTCGTTGGAGCTCTCCTTCTCCCCTTGAACACAGTTCTCAGGCACAGTCTCCTCACTGGTTTTTCCATTCTGAATTTTGCTGTGCTCCAACCCGTCTCCACTGGTTGGGATGTTGTTATTGTTTGGTTTCACTATTTTACCTTGGACTAGGCTGGGGGAAACTGTGTCTTGGTTTTGGGCAGCTTCCTTCTTCCCTTTCTTTATTCGACTCTTACTGGCTCGAGAGATTTGCCAGTAAAGGACAGTCATGATGACAACAGGCAAATAAAAGGCTGCGATGGCAGTGCCAAAAGTGACAGCAGGATTGGAAAAAAACTGGATGTAGCAATCCCCATCTGGGACCGTCCTTCCTCCCACAATGAACTGCCAGAAGAGAATTGCAGGGGCCCAGAGGATGAAGGACAGCACCCAGGCAGCTGCGATCATCATGCCTGCCATCTTAGTGGTCCTCTTCACGGGGTATGTCAGAGGCTTGGTGACACAAAAGTATCTGTCAAAGCTGATAATGAGGAGGTTCATCACAGAGGCGTTGCTGACCACATAGTCAAGAGCCAGCCAGAGGTCACACACCACAGGCCCTAAGGGCCAGTAGCCTATCACAGTGTAGAGAGTGTACAGGTTCATTGAAAAGATGCCGATGATCAAGTCAGCACAGGCCAAGCTGAACAGGAAATAGTTGTTGACAGTCTGTAGGTGCCTGTTGACTTTGATTGACACCATGACCAGGATGTTCCCAATTATGGTGACTAGACTGAGAGACCCTGTTACCAGGACGATGAAGACCACCTCAATAGTTTTATAGGGGCTCTCCAAAGCCATCACATTTTCAGTGGAAGAGTTTATGTACGTTGAGTTATTCATTTCTGTTCTGCTAACAAGATACCCAGTTACCACTTAAGCCTGCAGAGGAAAGAAAACAGATACTGTCAGGAAATTAGTCTCTTTACCTTTAAGAAATGGATCCCAGGAAAACTACTTACAAAGAGTTTAAAGGTAGAAGATGTATTTAGGAAAGCCAGTCATCTTTGGCTAATGAAACACATAATACCCCTCTAGGAATAGCATAACAATAGGCTACCTCTAAATATGTGAGGAAGACACACATTTGAATACAAATCTACATTTTAAAGCTCTCAGACGCATTTTTCTCTTTGTTCTTTTTTAAAACAAATATTGACTTGATAATTTTGGGACTTAATCTGCATATTGTTTTCTTTCTGACTAACAAAATAGTTCACTTTGCTCATTTCAAAACCTATTCCAGATAAAAAAGACCAGTCCCGAGGGTATGACATTCTTATAATCCAAAGTGAAACCGTGATTTACTGGGAGCCAGATCACATGAAGGTGACTTCTGCTTCCATCTTTCCTTCATGCTCTACCTGGGCATGGCTTCTGTGACATTTAT